GGGGGGGGGGGGAGGTGGAGACAGAAATTTGGGTCTTGCAGGGAAACAGATGGGAAGTTCAGTCCCTGATCCATACCTGCTGTTGTAGGATCTTGGGCAAGTGGCTTCACCTCTGTCAACCTTGGTTTTCTTCTCTGTAAAATGAGAATAATTACACCCACCTACCAGGGCTGGATTAGAGATAAAGTATATAGAGCAACTAAGAATTTACTCGATAGCTGTTGTTACAGGCAGAGAGATGAGTTGGCTGTCAGCAGGCATGGGGACTGGATTCAGAGCAAGTTCCCAGGTGTTGGGTGCAGAGCAAGCCCTGCAGTGTAGGGCACTGAGCCAGGAGGCTCTCGTGCTCCACACCCCTTCCTGCCGTTTCCACAGTGCACCTGCCCCATACCTTGCGATGTGCCAACATCACCATCATCGATCACAAGGAGTGTGAGAACGCCTACCCCGGCAACATCACAGACACCATGGTGTGCGCCAGCGTTCAGGAGGAAGGCAAGGACTCGTGCCAGGTCAGAGGGCAGGGCCTGGGTCTCCAACCTCAACTGTGTCTTCATCTGCACCCACCATCCCTACCTCTTCCCTCACACCACGCCCAACACCTTCCCCTCTTCCAAGGCCTCCCGTCCTCTCTGACTGGTTCTCTCCCCCCCATCCCCAGGGTGACTCTGGAGGCCCTCTGGTGTGTAATGGGTCTCTTCAAGGCATTATCTCCTGGGGTCAGGACCCATGTGCTGTCACCAGAAAGCCCGGTGTCTACACTAAGGTCTGCAAATACGTGGACTGGATTCGGGAGACAATGAAGAACAATTAGCTGGGACCAGCTCACCGTCCTCACCTACACCCCCACGCCTACATGGCAATGTGGCTCCTGTTCATTCTGCTCCCAGTGAAGCCTGAGCCACCACCCCTTTCAGTACTTTCTTTGGGATTCCTTGACTAGCTAGATGTTGGAACTTAATAAACAACTCATTGGAATTAAAGAGCCCTGGGTTCAAATCCAACCTCGCATTAACTTGTGACTCTGGGAGTGATTATTAAGAGCTGTTTGGTTCACTGTGGTATCCCCAACCCAAAGACAGTAGTGGAACAAGATTTCAATAAATATTTAGGACGAATCTCCTGCCTGCTTACTGAGTGCCAGCCCTTGGCTAAAGGGCTCTTAAATGTATCAATTCACGTACCCCAGTTAACGTGAGGTCGGTGCTACTCTTATACCTATTTTGCAGATGAGAAAACTGAGGCACCGTGAAATGAAGTTACTTGCTCATGGTAACACAGCCAGTAAGTAGAAAAGCAAGGAGTCTGAAGCAGGGCTGATTTCTTAACTACTGAGCTGTACTGCCTCGAGACTCAGTTTCCTTGCCTGTAGAGTCCCGAGTGCAAAAAGTACCCTAGCACGTGAAGCCCATCTGCATGCGCAGAGAAGACTGACTGAAAGGCAGCCGTCATTGTTTTGTTCCCAACCTCCAGATAGGTAGGTAATTCGCTGAGACCTGCGCAGACCAACACGGTAGCCACTAACCACATGTGGCTTTAAATTAAAATTACAGAAAACCAGAAGTGTCATTCTTCAGTCCCACTTTAGCCACGTGTGGCCTCATGGAGAAGTCGCCAGGCAAACAGTCCAGCACCCAAGGTTCCTTTCCAATATTCTGCTACGCTGGCGGGAGAGGTAGCTGGCATGAGGAGGAAGAGCCCCAAGCTGGAACTGGGGCCTCCTGGCTGCTAGGCAGACTGGCTGTGTGACCTCCCGTGAGTCACTGCCCTCTCTGAGCCTCCCATTCCTCGCCTGAAACCAGGGAGTTGGCTGAGAAAATGCGGACGCCCCTTGCAGCCCGTGATTCACGGGCCTGCTTGTCACCTGGAAACACACGGATGGCAGGGGGATGTGAAGTGACCACAAATGGGGATTACACATGGGGGGGGACACGCTGGTCACTGGGACACACACTGAGCCCACTGCCCTGGCCCTGGGGTTGGACTCAAGCAGGGAGCAGTCTCCTCTCCCTTTGTCTCCCGTGTCCTTTTTCTGTCCCTGTAGCTCCTACTCTTTCCTTCAGCCTCTTATCTCTGCCTCCCTGTCTCCCTGGCAGCCGGCTGGCTCTTCTGGTGTTGTGACTGCAGAGGTGCATTTCCCTGTCTGTTTACTTTCGGGGCTGCGCATTTCCCCGCTTACATTCCCCGCTGTGCTCACCACCACTGATCCCCAACGCTGTCCCCACCGCCCTCAGGCTCCCTGGGCACCCTCTCTCCCCACCTGGGCACACTTCCTGGGGCAGGGCACCTAGGGAAATCCCCACGGGACCCAGCTCCAAAAAGGGTGTTTTGGGCAATGGGAGAAGCCTGTATTCCTCGGTCCCTCCCAGGGCAGGAATCTGGGGCCCAGGTTGGATGCCAGCCGCACCCACGGTGTAATTAGGGAGACGGAAAAGGAGGGGGCGAGCCCCCGGGGGCAAGGTGGGGGAGTTTCCGGGCTCTCGCCGGTTAAAAGGGAAGGACGGGCCAGGGGTCCCTGGGCAGAGGAACCTGGCGGCCCGCACCGAGGGGCAGAAGCGCGGCCCGGTCTCCACTCTGCTTTTCCTGCGCGACTCCCAGGTGAGGCGGGGTGCACCTCCCTCTGGTTGGGGGGACCGTCGAATCGCGGGCAGGAGCCCTGCCCAAGCCTCCGTTTCCCTCGCTGGGAACGGGGGCGAAACCCCACGCGCTGAGAGGCGTGCGCGGGGCAGCCCCGGGCCGGAGCGCGCTCCCCTGGGGCGCGGGGAGGGCAGGGGACGCGGCCAGGGGCCTCATTAGGATAATTGCGCCCATTACCGCTGTCCGCG